AGACTCTGTCTAAAAAAAAGAAAGAAAGAAAAGAAAGAAAAGGAAAGAAAAGAAAGAAACAGAAAGAAAGAAAACCAAGAACAGCAGAGACGGGACCACCAGGAATGGCAAGATCTGGCCCTCTGCGGCAGGTGGAGGGCAGGACAGCTGCTGGGTGGCTGGCTGTGTTCTCCTGCAACCTGCCTGGTAGATATGCAAAGGTGGTCACCTTATAATAAAAAGATTATACATTTATTTTATGGGGTCTTCCATCTATATTGTACAATTTTTTTTTTTTTTTTTGAGATGGAGTTTTGCTCTTGTTGCCCAGGTCAGAGTACAATGGCGAGGTCTTGGCTCACTGCAACCTCTGCCTCCCTGCTTCAAGCGATTCTCGTGCCTCAGCCTCCCATGTAGCTGGGATTACAGGCACCCACCACCATGCCTGGCTAATTTTAGTATTTTTAGTAGAGACAGTGTTTTACCATGTTGGCCAGGCTGGTCTTGAACTCCTGACCTCAAGTGATCCACCTGCCTCGGCCTCCCAAAGTGCTTGAATTACAGGCACGAGCCACCATGCCCAGCCTGTATCATACGCTATTTAAAAAAGAGACTTTACAGAAAAAACAGACTGAGCAAGTAGAGCTGCATGCCAGTGCATGAGCAACAAGTTATGATCGGACACTGGAGGAAGAAAGAGGAAGCAGTTGGCCACGCAGCTCCGCTCTGCCAAGGTCTGCTGCCGTCCCTCACCCGCCCCACTACGTGGCAACCCAATCACAACAATGCCACCGTCCCCTAGCTGCTAAATGCTCTCGCCATTTGGTTGCTATTCAAACACACCTAACTTAGACTTCAGACTAATGTCCTGGAGGTGTTGCAAGATGGCGATGCTTTATGAGTAAGTTTGTCTTCCAGGGTGAAAATTATGATTTTCCCATAAATCACATATAAGCACTTAGCAAGACATATTTAAAACTCTCATAAGTTTTGGTCCTAAATTCTTTTCTCTTGCTATTACTACAAAAATGCCAGAGACAAAAAATATATTATGTATGACAGCTTGGAATCTAATTCCAAATGAGTTGCTTCCATAGATTCACTTACTGCAGAACTAAATATGCAAGATTCCAAATGGAGGCCAAATTCTGTCCACACATGAGACGGAGGAACCCTCAGGAGTCTCCCCTTGAAGTAATTTTTTTTTTTTTTTTTTGAGACAGAGTCTTGCTCTGTCGCCAGGCTGGAGTGCAGTGGCACGATCTCAGCTCACTGCAACCTCCACCTCCCAGGTTCAAGCAATTCCCCTGCCTCAGCCTCCTGGGACTACAGACGCACATCCCAATGCCCGGCTAATTTTTTGTATTTTAGTAGAGATAGGGTTTCACTGTAGTGGCCAGGATGAGGCTGCTCTCGATCTCCTGACCTTGTGATCTGCCTGCCTCGGCCTCCCAAAGTGCTGGGATTACAGCCTTGACAAGCTGACAACAGTATCTATGTTCTTTTTCAGCTTGTGGACTCCACGCCAAAATGCCTGGTTTCAGATCCCAATTCCTCTACCTGTGCACAATTACTTAACCTCTTTGTGCCTCAGTTTCTGAGTCTGACAGATTCCGGCAACATCAGCGACTTCACAGCGTTGTTGAGGATTAAATGAGTAAATACTCTAAACGGCTCAGATCTGTGCCTGGCACATATTAGCACCGACGCTGGCCTGATTAAAAATTGTATTATTATTTGCTTAACAATTGCCTGAAGACACAGAAAAGCCGTCTGCCACATATGCAGATGAGGGGAACCACCAAAGATTTGGTGGGTTTCAGAAGAGGTACAGGCCTGACAGCTGCCACGTGCCAACAAGGTGAGCCTGCAAATCAGAGACCACGGGCATGAGCCACAGTGCATGTGGCTGCTGTGTCACCTCTGCCTTCTCAGTCTTATACAAATGGTCTCTTGTGGCTCAAGTTACATACAGAGCTCCAACTTAGCCAAGGTGATGCAATAGGAATTCACTACACTCGCCCTTTGTCAACTTGGTGTCCATATCTACTCCTCTTTTCACCGCACTTAACTTCCAAATCAAGTAAACAGCAACTAGGCTTCCATGTCGTTTAATGCTACTATCCCTCTTACAACCAAAGCCACGCTAACCCTCTCCCCAGACGAGGAGCCAAAGTCCTTTTCTTGAGACAAGGTCTCACTCTGTCACCCAGGCTGGAGTGCAATGGTACGATTTCGGCTCACTGCAACCTCCGCCTCCCAGGTTCAAAAGTTTCTCCTGCCTCAGCCTCCCAAGTAGCTGGGATTATAGGCACCTGCCACCACACCCAGTTAATTTTTGTATTTTTAGTAGAGATGGGGTTTCACCATGTTGACCAGGCTGGTCTCAAACTGCTGACCTCAAGTGATCCGCCAACCTCAGCTTCCCAAAGCACTGGGATTACAGGCGTGAACCGCCGCACCTGGCCCAAAGTCCTTTTACATTCTATCTGAGTGGTTACCCGTTGGCACCCTGTGGCATGAAGGAGGAGATTGAAGTGATGACATAAGGCTGGGAGCTGACAGACCGCTGAAGTGTAACTATGAAGGCAGGCTGTGGACCCTGCCGGCTGGAAGCAAGACCCTCTGGTCATATTTACTACCAGGTAGAGAAGGACAAGACATTCGCCGCATACCAGGCGCCAGGAAACACGTTAATTTGTTCCAGCAACAGAAATGCATCTGGCACAGCAGCTGTAACTGGAGTCACCGCCCAGTTAAGTTTACGACAACCCGCTGTCATTCTCTAAGATCCATCCGTCTTCTAGACGAGCCAAACGTGGGTTAAACGGAGATGCGACAGGATCACCACCCTTGCATCTTTCAAGTCCCTGATGGTGGCACTCATCTCTGCCATCCTTCCAGGCATGTGATAATTGCTTTGGGTTGACTATTTTGGTAGATAGAGGCAGTTCTGGCAGCTTCTACTTGGCCTTTGCTACCATAACAGTCCTTACTCCAGGGAACCAGTGTCAGAATTCTGCTAGTTGCTAAGTAGATGTATATTTAATTATGCATTCCAGAACTGCAGAAAGAACCACAAGATAGCTATTATATCTTAATAATTACTTAATATATAATACGCAGTGATATGTGGGTAACAAATATTATATGAGTCATTACTCTGAAACGGATTAAAGTTAATATAAGCGTAATTGACATACTGAGTGATTATGGGTGCCCACTCAAAAGTCAACCATACTCAATTATACACAAAAACACAAAACGCACGTGCACACATGCTCAGATTGCCTCGCAAAGCCTATATGCATGGGAAGCCAATGACACACATGAGGAAAGACGGGAATACAGAGCTGCTTCTTGGTTTCAGGGAATCCTCACTTCTTTCTTCGTTCTCAGGGAAATTTCACTTCGTTTCATGCTCAACCTCCAGCCTCCCAGGCCTTGGCCTTACAGATTCCAAGGGGGCCAGGCGTGGTGGCTCACGCCTGTAATCCCAGCACTTTGGGAGGCTGAGGCAGGCTGATTACCTGAGGTCGGGAGTTTTGAGACCAGCCTGACCGACATGGAAAAACCCCATCTCTACTAAAAATACAAAATTAGCCAGGCGTGGTGGCGCATGCCTGTAATCGCAGCTACTTGGGAGGCTGAGGGTGGAGAATCGCTTGAACCTGAGAGGCGGAGGTTGCGGTGAGCCGAAATCGTGCCATTGCACTCCAGCCTGGGCAAATGAGTGAAACTCTGTCTCAAAAAAAAAAAAAAGAAAAAAGATTCCAAGGGGCCCCAGCCCCACTGTCTTCACCAAAGACAACCAGCTCCTTAGAACCCATGATGTCAGAGCTGTGATCTCCCAGCACACTGGAGAAGCTCCTCGCATCTTCGTATCTCCTAGTAGGCTGATCTCATCCACCAACAGCCACAGCATCTCGAAACAGCTCGGGAGCTGCTGTTTCCCACGATCATGTGGTCAACCCCGGTCCTTCAAACTTCCTTCAGGACTCACATACATACCACACCCCGTTCTGAGTTTTGAGCAGAATGCTTTTTCTTTGAAAGTCTTTATTCAGTGCCCCCTTTTCATTGATAGAAACTTGGAGGGTAGATGAGAAATTTTATGGCACGTATATAATGCATAGTGATGAAGTCAGGGCATTCAGGGTGTCCATCACGCAAATACAATACATTTTGGTTTTGGTCTTTTTTTTAGACAATCTCGCTCTGTCACCCAGGCTGGAGTGCAGTGGTGTAATCTTGGTGCACGGCAACCTCCGCCTCTCAGGTTCAAGCAATTCTCCTGCCTCAGCCTCCAGAGTAGCTGGGATTACAGGCACCTACCACCCACCTAATTTTTGTATTTTTAGTAGAGACAGGGTTTTGCCATGTTGGCCAGGCTGGTCTCGAATTCCTGACCTCAGGTGATCCGCCCACCTCGGCCTCCCAAAGTGTTGAGATTACAGGCGTGAGCCACCACGCCTGGCCGCAATACATTTTTGTTAGGTTAGAATATAGATATAATATTAGAATTATTAGAATAATATTACTCTGCTCTCAAGCCTTGAACTTATTCTTTCTACCTTACTGCATGCTTGTACCCTTTAACCGACTTCTCTTGACCCTTCCCCTCCCCGCCACTCACCCTTCCCAGCCTCTGTTATCCATCTTTCCACTCTACCTCCATGTGATCAAACCTTTTAGCTTCCACATATAAGAACATGCAATATTTGTCTTTTGTGTCTGGCTTCTCTCACTTAATGACTTCCAAGCTGGGCATGGTGGCTCATGCCTGTAACTCCAGAACTTCAGGAGGCCAAGGTGGGAGGATTGCTTGAGCCCCAGGAGTTCAAGACCAGCCTGGGCAACATAGTGAGACCCCATCTCTACAAAAAATAAACAAAATTAGACAGGCGAGGTGGCAGATGCCTGTGGTTCCAACTACTCGGGTAGCTGAGGTGGGAGGATCACTTGAGCCCAGGAGGTCAAGGCGCAGTGAGCTGTGATTGTGCCACTGCACTCTAACCTGGGCAACAGAGCAAGAATCTGTCTCTAAAAAATAAAAATAATAAAAATAATTGTAATAATAATGACCTTCCGTTCCATCCACGTTATTATAAATAACAGGGTTTTGTTCTCCCTGATGGCCGGACAGTATTCCGCTGCATATACATATACCACATTTTCTTTACCCGTCCATTTGATGACGGATGCGTTGACTCCATGTCTTTGCTATTGTGACCAGTGCTATGATGAACACACGAGTGCAGGCATCCCTTTGATAGATCGATTTCTGTTCCTCTGGGAAGATATCTAGTAGTGGGATTGATAGTAGCTATTGTGCCCAGTAAGGCCCCACTTTTTAATATTATTCTAATATAATTCTAATAGCCATTCTGACTGGCGTAAGGTGGTATCTCATTCTGGTTTTGTGGGGTTTTTTTTTTTTTTTTTTTTTTTTTTGAGACGGAGTCTTGCTCTGTCGCCCGGGCTGGAGTGCTGTGGCCGGGTCTCAGCTCACTGCAAGCTCCGCCTCCCGGGTTCCCGCCATTCTCCTGCCTCAGCCTCCCGAGTAGCTGGGACTACAGGCGCCCGCCACCTCGCCCGGCTAGTTTTTTGTATTTTTTTAGTAGAGACGGGGTTTCACCGTGTTAGCCAGGATGGTCTCGATCTCCTAACCTCGTGATCCGCCCGTCTCTCATTCTGGTTTTGATTTGCATTTCTCTGTGATGAGTGATGTGGAGCATTTTTTATGGTAATGCTTTTGACTGACTGTGCCACGTGTACAACTGTCTTTGACCAGAGACCTGAACCACAGAGTAGTACACAGGATTAAGGAGGAGCATCAGAAGGCAGTGGAACAGATGTGAGGCCGATCAGCTGGTACTAGAAAAGAGACAATCCATTTAAGGCTTTTACTCATTTTTGAAACCTATGTGCTATGGTCTAAATGTCCCCCAAAATTGACGTGTTTAAACTTCATCACTAAGGGATAGTATTAAGTGGGGTCTTACGGGCACAGTGGCTCACACCTGTAATCCCAACACTTTGGGAGGTTGAGGTGGAAGAATCACTTGAGTCTAGGAGTCCAAGACCAGCCTAGGCAACATAGGGAAGACTCCATCTCTACAAAACAAAATTGTTTTTAATTAGCCAGACGTGGTGGCACACACTTGTGGTCTCAGCTACACAGGAGGCTGAGGTGGGAGGATCGCTTGAGCCCAGGAGTTTCAGGCTGCAGTGAGCCGTGATTGCACCCCTGCACTCCAGCCTGGGCGACAGAGTAAGATTCTGTCTCAAAAAAGAAAAAAAAAAAAAAAAAGGCAGCGGGGTCTTCAAGAGGTGATGAAGTCATGAGTACTCCACCTTTTCAAATGGGATGAAGGCCCTAATACGAGAGGCCTTAGGGGTGAGCAACCTCATGAAAGGCCTGGGGGAACAGATCTGTAGCCTTTGCGCATGACAATGGGAGGACATGGTACCAGACACCTAATGCCACGGCTTGGATCCTGGACTTCTCAGCTTCCAGAACTGCCTCCAGAACTGTAAGAAATAAATTTCTATTGTTTGGAAATCACCCAGTTGCAGGTATTTTGTTGCAGCAGCAAAAGGGACTGAGACACCGTGTCACTGTACAGTCTTTGCAGTCAGCATGGCTTCAGCTGAGCAAAGAGGGACAGAAGAGTTGGGTCTCATCCTCACGACCCTGTTTCTCTCCTCTCTTCTCTCGGGCTCATCACTCCCCAGCCATCCACACCAGAAGCCTCCAGGTCACTTTCTTCTCCTTCCTCTCCCTCACCATCAAGCCCTGCCAAGTCTCCCTGTGGAATCCACCACCTTCTCTCCACTCCCACTGCCTGAACCCTTAATGTCTCCTGGGCCCTGGAAAGAGCTTCCAAACCATTCTCCAGGCTTCCAGTTTCTCCTCTTCCAATGCATCCTCTATTACATTATCACCCCATAAATCTTGCCCTGCAACTCGTAATGCTTGCCCTTTTATAAAAATAATAGCAACAATATCTCCTACAACTAAGATTTAGAGAACACGGATTGTGTGTCAAACACTGTTCTAAGCACCTTATACGCATTACAAACTCCCGCTAACAGAACAGAGCAGAGACTCCAACGTGGCACGCAAAGTCTTTCACTACCAGGCCCCAAGCCCCTTTCCACCCCCATCTCCCATGTCCTCCATCTTTGCCGCTTCCCCATGTACTTCCGGTGCTGTTTCTCAAACACCTACCCCTCTCCGCATTACACGCCCTGGTGCTGTTTCTTTGCCGTTTTACGTGTTCTGCTACTGTTTCAATTCTTGTCTTTTTAAGTGTTCCGATGACACTTTAAAAATGCTTTAAATGCAGGATTGCAGGCCGGGTACAGTGGCTCATGTCTGTAATCCCAGCACTTTGGGAGGCTGAGGCGAGCAGATGACCTGAGGTCAGGAGTTCAAGGTCAGCCTGACCAATAAGATGAAACCCCATCTCTACTAAAAATACAAAAATTAGCCGGGCATGGTGGCATGCACCTGTAATCTCAACTACTCGGGAGGCTGAGACAGGAGAATCACTTGAACCTGGGAGGCAGAAGTTGCAGTGAGCTGAGATTGCACCATTTCATTCCAGCCTGGCGACAGAGCAAGACTCCGTCTCAAAAAAAAAAAAAAAAAAAAGGCAGGATTGCACCCTTGAAAATTAAAATTTTACTTTAACTGAAAGGAACAACTGAGGTCAGGTGCAGGAACTCAGGCCTGTAATCCCAGCACTCCGGGAGGTTGAGGCAGGTGGATCGCTTAAGCCCAGGTGTTCAAGACCAGCCTGGGGTAACATAGTGAGACCCCATCTCTACAAAAAATGCAAAAATTAGCAGGGCATGGTGGTGCATGCCTGTAGTCCCAGCTACTCGGGAGGCTGAAGTGGGAGGATCACCTGAGCCCAGGAGGTGGGGGCTGCAGTGACCCATGATTGTGCCACTGCACTCCAGGCTGGGTGGCAGAGCAAAATCCTGTTGCAAATTTAAAAGAAAAGCAAAAAGAAAACCATTGAGCTTAACACGCCTTTTCATATAAGTAACTCCAATGATGGCTTTCATCTAGGCTAACATTTTGGTTTCTGTGAACAAATCATTTTGGTAATAATTCAGTGGACATTTATGCTCCAAGATAGACAGAGCCCCTAAATCTGCAGGTACATGAAAAGTCCAGGTGTAGGCACATTACACTACACAATTATCTCAGACTAGGGTGGTTTGCTGTGGCGAGATTGGGTTTTCTTTCTTTCCTTTTAAATTTTTACTTAATCAAAAAAGCTTCTTTTAAGACAAACACTTGGTGAGGTGGCCAAGCACTATCATATTTCCTGGTTTCTTCTCCTTCTTTACTTAACAAAGAACTGCTCATTAAAATGACATCTTCTTAATTTTTTTTTTTTTTTTTTTGAGATAGACTCTTGCTCTGTCGCCCAAGCTAGACTGCAGTAACGTAATCTCGGCTCACCGCAATCTCCGCCTCCTGGGTTCATGCAATCCTCCTACTTCGGCCTCCCAAGAAGCTGGGATTACAGGCAGCCACCACCACACTTAGTTAATTTTTGTATTTTTAGTAGAGATGAGGTTTCGCCATGTTAGCCAGGCTGGTCTCGAACTCCTGACCTCAGGTGATGCGTCCACCTTGGATTCCCAAAGTGCTGGGATTACAGGAGTGAGCCATGGTGCCTGGCCCAAAGACATCTTTTTAAACTCACATCTAAGGAGGGTCTACTGAGTATACAATATTGATTCCAGGTTAAATAAAGTATCTATATGAGTCTTTTCACCTGTTGATTGAACTGTCTTTAATAATCACACTTGTGTAGTACTTTTCATTTCCGTTACCTCATTTGATTTTCCAACGAGACAGTGACAATTCTGCTTCCAGTAGACATGAGAGGTGGAAACAGCAGGGACACTACTTACCTGTAGCGGTCAGTTTTAAGTTGAAGATAAATACCCCTTCAAAATTTCAGGATGGAAAAGACCACAAGAAATAAGGCAGAGAATCAAAGCTCAGGGAGGAAAATCTTATAGGGGGCATTAAGGACCAGCAGGGTCATAAGACTTCCCAAGAAATGGCATGTTCTAGAAATAGAGCAAGGAAGCCACCCCACACTCATCCTTCTCTGAATTTCTATTCTCGTTTTTTCCTTCTAAGGAGCTAGCCTTGGGCCAGGCGTGGTGCTTTCCACACGTGTAATCCCAGCACTGTGGGAGGCCAAGGCGGGTGGATCACCTGAGGTCAGGAGTTTGAGACCAGCCTGGCCAACATGGTGAACCCCCATATCTACTAAAAATACAAAATGGCTAGCTGGGCATAGCGGCTCAGCCGTGTCATCCCAGCTATTTGGGAGGCTGAGGCAGGAGGACCACCTGAACCGGGGAGGCAGAGGTTGCAGTGAGCGAGATCACTGGGCGATCGAGCAAGGCCTGACAGAGCAAGGCCCCATCTTAAAACCAAAAAAAAAAGCTAGCTTTTTCTAACTTTAATTACTGAATTCAAGGAAGGACTTGATTGCAGTAGCATAGACTCTGGATCACAATAAGTATAGCAAATTCCATCTTTATAATACTACTATTAAGGTGACCATAGGCCCGGGGGCGCGGTGGCTCAAGCCTGTGGATCCACCATTTGGGAGCCTGAGGGAGTGGATCACGGGTCAGGAGATGAGACCCTCCCTGGCTAACATGGTGAACCAATCTTACTAAAATACAAACTAGCCGCGCGGAGGTGCGGGCACTGTAGTCCCGCTACTCGGAGGGCTGAGGCAGGAGAATGGGTGAAACCGGGGAGGCGGCTGGTGACGGATCGGCACTGCACCCCAGCGGCGCACAGCGAACTCGTTCTCAAAAAAAAAAAAAAAAGACACTAATACTAAAAAGAAACAGGCAAAGAAGAGTGCATGATTCCATGGTTTAAACAATTGGTTTTATTTTCTGTTTTTTGTTTTTGAGACAGGTTTCACTGTGTTTGGGCACATGGGGCTGGGATTATAGTGGATAAAATTCATAGCTCACTGCAAGCCTACATCACCTGGGCCACCATCTTCCCTCTCGGCCTGGCCCCAAGTGGCTGGGACCTCAGGATGTGTCCCTGTGCCCAGGTAACGGGTTTTTTTTTTTTTTTTGAATGGAGTCTTTGCTCTGTCGCCCAGGGCTGAAGTATAGGGGATGATATCGGGTGCGCTGCAACCCTCCGCCTCCTGGTTTCAAAACAATTCTCCTGGGCCTCAGCCTCCTGGAGTGGCTGGGCAACTACAGGTGCACACCCGCCCAGATGATTTTTGTATTTTTAGTAGAGACAGGGTTTCTCCATGCTGGCCAGGCTGGTCTCAAACTCCTGACCTTGTGATCCATCCACCTTGGCCTCCCAAAGTGCTTGGATTCCAGGCGTGAGCTGTGGCGCCTGGCTGACCCGGCTAAGTTTTTTAATTTTTTGTAGAGACAGGGTTTCCCTAGGTTGCCCAGGCTGGTCTCAAACTCTTGGGCTTAAGCAATTCTCCTGCTTGGCCTCCCAAAGTGCGGGGATTACAGGTGTGAACCACCATGCCTGGCCTTGACTTCATTTCTAAAAAGAGAGGAAAAATATATGACTCCTTCCCTGCCCCATTGTTATTTGATTAAATTATTTACAAAACGAATTCTTAGGATATTTTGCATTTTCATTTCCTTCTGAAAAATCAATTTTTACACCATGACCTTAATCTGGCTAATTCTGTTAAAATAGGATTTAATTTTAGTAAGTTCCCAGAGGACCTGCATTCAATTCAATTATTGGTTGAACTGTATTTCCTAGTGACTAGGATTCATAAATATTAATTATCGGAAAGAGTGGAAATGAACATATAGTTATTTTTAGTGTTTTCAGTGATAACAACAACAAAAAATCCTGGAAAACGGAGCTAGACCAGCGCTGAGATGAAAATCCAACAGCCACCTGGCGAACTCTGTGTTCCAAGAGGTTTTTATTTACAGTGTAGGATGTGACTTTACCTATAAAATACATGCTTTTTCAAGGCTTTCTGGGTGCCACTCCACTTGGACGATTCTGGTTGCGGTCTGCTAACTCATCAACTGTCCGATTTTGGCAAGTTCCTAAACTTCTCTGTGCCTCGTTTCTCCCCTTTGTAAAACAGGACTAAAAATATTAAACCTCTTCCCTGTGGGGTTGCTTTCAAAATCATATAATGTGTTACACGTAAACATAAAGCATAATAATAAGACAGAGGAATACACCACTGGAACAAAATCAGAAGCAGTTCCCTCATTTTCTCGTAACATGGAGTCTGGCTGGGTCCGGTGACTCCCGCCTGTAATCCCGGCACTTTGGGAGGCCGAAGCAGGAGGATCACTTGAGGTCAGGAGTTTGAGACCAGTTTGGCCAACATGGTGAAACCCTGTCTTTACTAAAAATATAAAAATTAGCTGGGCGTGGTGGCGTGTGCCTGTAATCTCAGCTACTTGGGAGGCTGAGGCAGGAGAATCTCTTGAATCTGGGAGGCAGAGGTTGCAGTGAGCCGAGATTGCGCCACTGCACTCCAGCCTGGGCAACAGAGCAAGACTACATCTCAAAAACAATAATAATAATAAATAATAATGTGAAGTCTTTTTTTCTTTGCCTAGAATTTTCTGTGCGTTGCAGGAATGAGTACATTCAGAATTCATTCCAAAGTTCATTAAGAAAAGTACAGTTAAGCTTTGGTAAAATCGTCTGCCAAAATTTAAAAAAAAGAAGAGAGAGAAGGAGAAGAAAAGTACATTAAAAAATAACATCACTAAGAACTCTGTAACCTTGAGCAGGGCACTGAAGTGCCACGGACCTCAGTTTCTTCCTTTTTTGTTGTTTTTTAATTTTTGGTTTCTAGGTAGACACTGAATGCTAGTTTCTTCCTTTTTAAAAAAATGAAATAGCTTAACTAGAACCATCTAAACTACAAAGAATCATTTTAAAATTCGAGGCCAGGCGCGGTGGCTCACGCCTGTAACCCCAGCGCTTTGGGAGACCGAGGTGGGCAGATCACCTGAGATCAGGAGTCCGACACCAGTCTGGCCAACATGGTGAAACCCCGTCTCTACTAAAAATATAAAAATTAGCTGGGCGTGGTGGCGTGCGCCTGTAATCCCAGCTACTCGGGAAGCTGAGGCAGGAGAATCGCTTGAACCCAGGAGGCGGAGGTTGCACTGGGTCGAGATTGCACCACTGCACTCCAGCCTGAGTGACAGAGTGAGACTCCATCTAAAAAAAAAAAATTCTAAAACACTGGGATTTGTGAAGTAAATAATAAAATTCTATGACAGGATAGAGCCATTTTCGTCCAGGCTATCTACCAAATGCAGCAAAGGAAATTAAAAAAAAGGGTTCCCAAATAATGAAACACATTTTGGAGATCTGGACTTCCCTGTTATAAACCTATGGAATCAGATCATTTAAAATCTAGTTAACAGAGAAACCTTGGTTTAATAGTAACAAACATACTTCCTTTAACCACGAGCCACTTTAATGTATATCAGTTTTATCTCTGGAGCTTCATAAATCCCAACAGAGAAAGCTGATCTATTTTAACAGAAACATAGCAAGAGAGTGTCACTTCTCAACCATTATACATTTAAATAATGTCTGTAGATGGAGAGCCTGCATCTAAATCCCAGCAATGTTTCAGGACCTAGCTCTGAGGCCACATCAGCACTCCAGGCAGGCAGACGGACTCTCCACTCCGCCTCTTTTGCCCCCAGAAAATATATCTTTCCCCAGACCAACAATCCACTTCCCGGCCTCACGTCGACTGGCTCCCCACTCCCGCACTGTCAATTCTTTGCGAGATGAGGCTGTGCTGGCTCGGTATGGCTCATGAGACAAGCATGCAAGAAATATTTATTAATGTAAACTTCTATGAATTTGTATCATCTGAGTTTATGGGAATAAGGATAAATCACAAAAGCACTGTAAGTGAGGCTTTGAACAAAGTCCTGAATGGAAGAGTCTAGTACCATTTTTAGAGCTTTTATTTTTTCTTTTTTAAATTCCTTTTACTATCATTCCCAGCCTTGGTAGACACTTGACAAATATTTGAGGGGAAGCTAAGGATAAAAAGATGAAAACAAAGTGACTGCAATGAAAAAATTAAAGCCCAGGTAAGAATAAACAGTTTAATCTCTGTTTAGTTAGGAAGGAGCCAAACGCAGCTGGGCACGGTGGTTCACGCCTGTAATCCCAGCACTTTCAGAGGCCAAGGCGGGCAGATCACAAGGTCAGGAGTGAGAGACCAGCCTAACATGGTGAAACCCGGTCTCCACCAAAAATACAAAAATTAGCCGGGTACGGTGGCATGTACCTCTACTCCCAGCCACTCAGGAGGCTGAGGTAGGAGAATCACTTGAATCCAGGAAGCTAAGGTTACAGTGAGCCAAGATCGCACCACTGCACTCCAGCCTGGGCAACAGAGCAGGCTGTCTTTAAAAAAAATCAATAAAAATAAATTAAAAAAAAAAAAAAAAGCCAAATAATTTTGCCTCCCAATTTTCTTGATCCATGCAAGAGGGGAAGATGGTCTCAGGTAGTAACTAGCTTTGAAAATCCTTGTGGATTTTTTGAGACAGGGTCTCACTCTGTTGCCCAGGCTGGAGTACAGTGGTGCAATCTTGGCTCACTGCAGCCTCGACCTCCTGGGCTCAAGTGATCCTCCCACCTCAGCCTCCCGAGTAGCTGGGACTACAGACATGCAGCACCATGCTTTTTTTTTTTTTTTTTTTTTTGAGACATGAGGTTTCATCCTGTTGCCCTGGCTGGTCTTGAACTCCTAGGCTAAAGCGATCCTCCCATCTCAGCCTCCCCAGTAGTTGGAACACAGGTGCATACCACCACACCTGGCTAAACTTTTTTTCATATTTTTTGTAGAGATGGGGGTCTTCCTATGTTTCCCAGGCTGGCCTCGAAATCCTGGGCTCAAGTGATGCTCCTGCTTTAGCCTCCCAAAGTGCTGAGATCACAGGCGTGAGCCACAGCACCGGGTCTGAATTTGTGATTCATGTTAATGATGAACCTGGGCTGAGCCTTAAGTATCTGTCTGGGGTTGCAGAAGCAATCAGCACAGTGCTCAGCGCTGAACCGCAGCAGAGAGCACCCAGCGCTGAACCGCAGCACAGAGCGCCCAGCGCAGAACCGCAGCACACAGCGCCCAGCGCTGAACCGCAGCACGCAGTGCCCAGCATTGAACCGCAGCATGCAGTGCCCAGCACAGAGTGCCCAGCACTGAACCGCAGCACACAGCGCCCAGCACAGAACCGCAGCACACAGCGCCCAGCACAGAACCGCAGCACACAGCGCCCAGCACTGAACCGTATAGCACACAGCGCCCAGCACTGAACCGCAGCACAGAGTGCCCAGCGCTGAATCGCAGCACGCAGTGCCCAGCATTGAACCGCAGCATGCAGTGCCCAGCACAGAGTGCCCAGCACTGAACCGCAGCACACAGCGCCCAGCACTGAACCGTATAGCACACAACGCCCAGCACTGAACCGCAGCACAGAGTGCCCAGCACTGAACCGCAGCACACAGCGCCCAGCACTGAACCGCAGCATAGAGTACCCAGCACTGAATTGCAGCACGCAGTGCCCAGCACACAGCGCCCAGCACAGAACCGCAGCACGGAGCGCCCAGCACTGAACCGCAGCACGGAGCGCCCAGCACAGAACCGCAGCACACAGCGCCCAGCGCTGAACCGCAGCACAGAGTGCCCAGCGCTGAACCGCAGCACGCAGTGGCCAGCATTGAACCGCAGCATGCAGTGCCCAGCACAGAGTGCCCAGCACAGAACCGCAGCACACAGCGCCCAGCACAGAACCGCAGCACGGAGCGCCCAGCACTGAACCACAGCACGGAGCGCCCAGCACTGAACCACAGCACAGTGCCCAGCACTGAACCATAGCACAGAGTGCCCAGCACTGAACCACAGCAGAGTACCCAGCACTGAACCATAGCACAGAGTGCCCAGCACTGAACCACAGCAGAGTACCCAGCACTGAACCATAGCACAGAGTGCCCAGCACTGAACCACAGCAGAGTACCCAGCACTGAACCACAGCACAGTGCCCAGCACTGAACCATAGCACAGAGTGCCCAGCACTGAACCACGGCACAGAGTACCCAACACTGAATCGCAACACGCGGTGCCCAGCACTGAACCACAGCAGAGTACCCAGCACTGAACCACAGCACAGTGCCCAGCACTGAACCATAGCACAGAGTGCCCAGCACTGAACCACAGCAGAGTACCCAGCACTGAACCACAACACAGAGTACCCAGCACTGAACAGCAACACGTGGTGCCCAGCACTGAACCGTAGCACGCAGTGCCCAGCACTGTACCACAGCACATGTGCCCTCCCCCCATGGCCCCGAACTTATATTCGTCAACATATGTCATGCAGATGCATGAACGAGCAGAGCCACAATTCTCACATGAGCTTTGTAAATAAGGAAAAACTGCATGGGCCAGCACACGTTGCTTGTGTGTGTGTGTGTCCTAAGCACTGATGACATAAATGCAGAACCAACAACATTTCCACTCATCCAAAGGGAATCGTGAGTTCTCAATGAGCGGGCTGGGAGTCACTTAGAAGTCATTTCCAAAGCACCGTGAAACTTGTCTACTTCATAAAAAAGTAATGAGGCTGTTTTACAGCCCTTTAACTTAAATCTAGTAATTGTGCCTATCAGAGTTCTGAAGAAAATAAGACTCTTAATAATCTAGGCTACTAGTTCATGCAGATCATCTTAAACCAAGATTTTCCACAGACCTCACATATGGAGGTGTTATGGTCCTTTTCTAAAATGAAAGAGCTTCACTAGAGCCCAGAAGTTCGAGACCAGCCTTGGCAACATAAATGAGACCCCAACTCAACAAAAGAACAACAATTTTTTTTTTTTTTTAAGTATCCAAGTGTGGTGGCATGCACCTGCATTCCCAGCAACTCGGGAGGCTGAGGTAGAGGAGAACTGACTGAGCTCTGGAGGTCAAGGCTATAGTAAGCTATGAGTGCACCACTGGACTCCAACCTGGTCAACAGAGCAAGACCCAATCTGAAAAAACAAAAACACGAAAACATATTCCACAAAAAAGATTTGCATATAAGGACTGTATATAAGATCGTTTTCTAGGCGGACATTGGATGCTAATTTCTTCCTTTTTAAAAAAATGAAATAGCTTAACTATAACCATTGAAACTACAAAGAATCTTTTTAAAATTCTAAATATTAGGATTTATAAAGTAAATAAAATTCTCTGATAGGATGGAGCCATTTTCATGCAGGATGTTTGGAAACCCTTCTTTTTTTTTGAGACTCTGTCAAAGAAAGAAGGAAAAGAGAGAAAGGAAGAGAGAAAAAGAACTAGCTTAACAAAAATCATGTAAACTATAAAGTATCTTAATTCTAAAATATTAGAATTTATGAAGTAAATGAAATTCTGTGATGTGGTTTCTCTAGTTAATGGCCGGGGGACTTATATAACTGTTACAAAGACATTATTTAAAAATCTTCTGTTCTCTTTTGGGGGCAATTGGATTGACAATCGCAACTCCTTTGTAACCAATGGGCTTCTGTGTGAGCTGTTAGACGCACAATGGTATTCGTTCAAGAGGGAAAACGAAATGACACGGACACCACTCATCACAGCCTTCAAAGTTCTGTCTGCTTGACCAATCAGGTCCTCTGGTTGAAATCCATGACCAATCAGGTCCTCTGGTTGAAATCCATGACCAATCAGGTCCTCTGGTTGAAATCCATGACCAATCAGGTCCTCTGGTTGAGATCCATGACCAATCAGGTCCTTGGTTGAAATCCATGACCAATCAGGTCCTCTGGTTGAAATCCATGACCAATCAGGTCCTCTGGTTGAAATCCATGACCAATCAGGTCCTCTGGTTGAGATCCATGACCAATCAGGTCCTTGGTTGAGATCCATGACCAATCAGGTCCTTTGGTTGAAACCCATGACCAATCAGGTCCTTTGGTTGAGATCCATGACCAATCAGGTCCTTGGTTGAAATCCACGACCAATCAGGTCCTTTGGTTCAAGTCTTTTGCTGTAACATCAGCCAGATGATCACAGCCCTCCCTGTCCTTGTCCCTCTCCAGGTACAGAGGCGCCCAACACACAATTAAAAATACATGGAATTTTGGACATCTTTCCTTCTTTGCTTCTGACACCATACACATGTGGGTTCAAGTCCTTGCAGAGGGCACAGTTATCCTCCATGGTGAGGATGGGCATTCCCTAATGATTAGTTTTTCTAGTGGGGCACACTAGAGGAAGCACGTTTCTTTTTAAAAAATACACTGAAATGCTGCTGTGGTTCGATTGTGTGTCCAAAACTCATGCTGAAACTGAACCTCCAGTGTGGCAGTAATGAGAGGTGGGGCCTCTAAGAGGTGATGCCCGGCAGGTGGGTTAATGGACGAATGAGTTAACAGATGAATGGCTTCTCATGGGAGTGGGACTGGTAGCTTCATGAGAGGAGGAAGAGAGACCTGAGTGAGCAGTCAGCCCCCTCGCCATGTGATGCCCTGAACCTTCTCGGGACCCTGCAGAGTCTTTATATACTTCCCGGTTTCAGGTATTCTGTTATAAGCAACAGGAAGCAAACTGAGACAACGCAGAGCCAGTTCCCGGGCGCAGATGGAAGCAGAGTGCCAGCGCCAAGCTTCGGCGGCATGTGGAGGTCAGGGAACTTGGACGGGATCTTGCTCTTGGGTCCGTACTGGCCTGGATGGTGGGTGGGCCATGCAGAGACAGGTGGGCTGCTGCGGGACAGAGGGACAGAGGTGGGAGACGGCTCCCTGGTGACTTAAGAGACTTTGCTTACAGAGTCTGAAAATCGCAGAACAAGTTCCAAGAACGCAAGAGAAAAGACCTTTTTTTTTTGGATGATGTCTCATCCCCTCCAGAGTGTGCTGATTTTGTTTTTTCTTCTTCTCCTTTTTCTTCTTTTTTTTTTGAGACGGAGTTTCACTCTGTTGCCCAGGCTGGAGTGCAGTGGTGTGATCTCGACTCACTGCAACTTCTGCCTCCCGGGTTCAAGCGATTCTCCTGTCTCAGCCTCCTGAGTAGCTAGGATTACAGGCACAGGCGTGCGCCACCACATCCAGCTAATTTTTGTATTTTGTATTTTTGTAATGGTGAAACATGGTTTCACCATGTTGGCCCAGGATGGTCCCAAACTCCTGACCTCAGGTGATCCACCCGCCTCGGCCTCCCAAAGGGCTGGGATTACAGGCGGGAGCCACCGCATCCGGCCAGAATGGGTTGCTTTCTCATTGCACAGTCCCTAACTTGCCCTGAACCCTCCCTGACCCAGGTAGCCGCGAAGCCTCTGGCGCCTGAGGCTTGGGAGTGAGCCCTGGTGGTTCTGGCTGACACTCCGCCCTGACCCACTTGGGGCTTGTGTGATGTCCCCTTCGGCCTGACAAGAGGACCCAGTTCTCCTCTGTGCTCCTCCTGAACAAAACAGGTCCCAGTCTGGGAAGGCCGCCAAAGAGAGATCTTTTCACTGGTTTCTGTTCCCTGTCATTTTTGGGGGAGGGCGGGCTGGGGAACACAAACACCCAATAATTGGAAATTGTCAGACATACAA